CTGTAAAAAGTGAAGAGAATATGAGAAGACGAAGAACGGTGTTTGGAATTAGTTAAGAAAATCAGTGATTAGCTGACAATTTCAAAACTTTCTACTACAGTTTATTGCTGTATACTTTAAAAAGATATTTTGAGAACGTTTCTTATAAGCATTGGTTGATTACACTGACTACCAACTTGCTGACACCATAAAGTTTATCTAGTTAATCTACTGCAGTAAACCGAATCTCTTTGACTAGCTTTTCTTTTTTTGTTCAGCTGGAATAATCATTTCTTCTAAACATAGAAACTGTGGTTTGAATTAATGAAGCATAAAATAATTTTGCATATTAAAATTGTCGTCATTGGTGCAGAAAAATTTATCTTTGCCCCTTTCGTGGTGCAACTTCTGCTGACTGACTTGTTTGACTTTTTGGGACAGTGAAACTGCCCTTAACGTTATGAAACAAAACAACAACTGTAGACTTTTCTACACTAAAAATGGTAATTTTATTTTATAAAATAATTTTTGTTTTATGACTACTATTAAAATTACCATCGCTGCTTCACTCAGAAACCACAAGTTCTTTATTCTTGAGACGTTTATTTCTAATTTTTCGATATGAATAGGCTTGAGAATAAAAATTCTATTAGAAATGCATAGCACTCAAGATAAAAAAGGAAAAATTAGGTGCCGACATTGCTTTATGTTCAACACTGGAAAAGATCACTATTGAATCTGACAAAAAAATTGCAAAATTATACTTTTTTTTCAGAAGAGAGGTGCCACTTTTAAAAAATACAGAAAAATTATTTTAGTTATAAATTGTTTGCCTAATGCTTGCCATGTTTAAGCTGTTGACGTTAGAAATAAAGCTTAAAAAGTAAAGAAATGACTCCATTTTTGAAGAAGAAACTTTTATCGCTTTTTACTGAAAAAAACGAAACTCTTGTTTTTACTTTTTGAACTTACATAGTGACGTATTACACTAAGTATCCGCAAATTACACTTTGACTTGTAAAATACCACATCTACGTGGTATTCAGAAAATTCCTCTACATAGTTCAGGGTTTCTTCATCAAGCAAAATTCAAGAATGATTTGAAATAGACCTGCTAGTTAAAAGCCATCAGTTACTTTTACTCTATAAATTAGCCAAAAATCTTGAGCTGGGTTCAGATAAGTTAAGGGAGTTGAAACAAACAAGAAATTTATCTAAAGTTTTGATGACGTATAGAGGATATTACACTGGAACCAAAGGGTAACATTTCAGTACTCTTTAACTCTTTTCCGAGCAGGTTGTGCTGTGTTTCCTGACACGTAATTCATAATCCAAATGTTACGCGAAAAATGTATAAATCTTATCAATTTGCTGTTGGCAAAAGCAAAAGAGAAAATTGATAACTGTACGAAATGATTATAAAATCACTTTATTGCGAATGATAAATTGCAAAACTGAACTAAAATCGTATGCTTTACTTGACTAATGGAGCAAAAAATAAAATTTTTTAGCAGTAAAGATAACTTAAAAGAAAAAGCATATCTTCTTTCCTAATCTGGATGTTTAAATCGTAATAATAAGAGCAAAGGTAAAAACTGGTTTAGTAAAGAAAGGTTTAAGAGTTTTACAAAAGATTGATTAGATTACTGTGTAACTGTCCTGAAATATTTTCCTTCTTAGAAGTTTGAAAATGAGAATAAATTTCAGTCTTTATTTCTCGTTTGCTAAACAACAACAAACGTTTAGAAAACAAAATTTGTTTAAAAAGCTACATTAAAACTGCAGAGACTTTAGTATTACCTCAAAAAGCATATCTACTAAGTGTTTTTCGTCGTCAGTAAGCATATGCTCCAACAATTCAACCGTTTTTAAGGATGCTTTAGCGTTGACTAGCGACTTGTCACCAAAAAAGTCTGACTCTCCAATTCGGCCAACGAGCAGTATATATTTACCTCATAAACGGCGAAAAGTGAAAACACGGTAATGTCTAGTCATCTTGCTGGTCTCATATGGTGACCAAAAACAGAAATTTTTGTTATCATTTTGATAAATAAGTTAGTTCTATTAAGTAAAAACCAATTTTCAGTAGAACGTGAAATTACTATACCAGAATGCTGGCAAAAGTTACGATAAAAACTGAAGCGCTAAAACTACTTCAAATAACATTGATATAAAATCAATAATAAAATTTTAGCCGATGTTTATTTGGGTTTTCACGGTTGGAATTTTGTTTGATTCTATTTTCTTCATTATTGCTTATCGCACTTATTGGAATTTGTGTTTTATGGCTTTACATACTTCAAGGTTATCAACACTTTATTCACGGTAAGCACCGATGCACAAGGCAGTGAGAATTTTACAGTATTTTTCTTTCGTCTTTTTTTTTTCAAAAACTTTGTAGCAGTTATTTTACCTATATTCAGTTTTAGTTCAAAGTAAATAAAATTGAAATAATTAAAAGCTAACATCAAAATTTTGTGCATGATTTGACGGTTGATCCTTGGCCGGCTTTATGCTAGCTTTTCTCACTTGCTGATAAGAATCTGGCGTGTTGGCACTATTGTAACTAATAAGTTAGCTTCTTAAATTATTCAGCGGATATATCCATTATTTGCTCTACCGCTTCTCAGGTTATGGTTATCGAAAGGATCAACTGTTCGATATACAGAACGACAGCAGTTTTGGACTTGATAAAAGCGCTGTAAATCATCATGAATTAGTTTGTACTTCTAGAGAATGCGTCCTTATTGCGGGTTTCTTAGCCGGAAATCTCAACGAAAAGGTTTTATTTCAACGAAGTTTTTTCATTATCAAGTGTATTTTATGACCAAAATTACTTTCAAGGTTGACCCATGTGACGACTTCTACGAGTATGCTTGTGGAAATTATGGGTTAGACCGATATTTGTCAGCAAACAAACCGTTAAGACATACTTTGACAGATATGCAGAGTCGTCTGAATAAGCAGGTCAAGATTCTCTTAGAGGTGAGGTTGCGCTTTATTATAATCGTGTTTTAAAATTACTATCATTTATTCCGGACTATATTTCTAACAGTAAAATCTAGCACAGGCTGAAAAAGCATCTTAAGAAAATTGAAAGCCTCAAAAAATCCAATTAAAACTGATACTTTTTCTAGTTTCAATTTTTTAGCTAAAATTAAATGCAAACAGGTGCCAAGAATTTGGGATTTAGCAAACAGTCACAAATGAGTTTTTCACTCATCTGTTTTCATCCCTAAACTTCGTCTTTTAATATGGCATAAATTTATAAAAATGTATCAAATTTCTTGCCACTTTAGTGTTTTTCGCCCTGAGCTAACAATTCATCAGTCAAATTTAACTGTATTCTGTCAAGTCAAAAACGGAATGGCAATTTAATGGCCACCTAATTCAATCCTTTGGTAGCTAATTTTTCCAAAGATTTCTCAATTCTTCGAGCTTTTTCTGATGAATTGAGCTGTATCTCGGAAAAAGCACTTTAAAGTAGAAAAACACTATTTTTGAAAACTTTATTAACTCTCACTATGAACTGCCAAAAAACAAATGAGTATTATTTGAGCGTTGAAGACTGAAGACTTTTGCCATACAATTCTCAGAAAGTTATATGTGCTTTGAAAAACAAAGTCAAAAAAATTTTTTTTTTGGATGTTTACCAGGAACTAATTTTGCGCGCAATCACTAGCTATAAGAGTTTGAGAAAATCTTAAGAAGAAAATAAAGTGAGGCATCAAGTTTGGTATAGAAAACACGTCATCAAGTATATATTTTGTCCTGTTACCTGAGTAGGTAGTAACGCACCTCTACAGAGAAAATTGAGTACGCGCAGCGGACAGCCAATAAGTCTTCTGACTTGCCACGCACCGTTGGTGGACTGGGTACTGATTCTTAAATTCGTGCTGATATATTTATATCATATTTCAAATGGTTGTCCGATTAAGAAAAAGCGCGGAAAGTATTTGTGAAAAAAAGTAATCTTGGAGAGGCATGAAAATTAGCTATGCAAAAAAAAGGTCACGAAGCAGAACTCTTGGAACAATCCTACAGGACTGCAAATTCTGTATCAGAAAGTTTTACCGCCTGCATTTTTGCGGTCAATTAGTGAGCTTGGATTCTATCGGTGTCGGGATCGGTTTTTTAAATTTTTCATCAGATTTTAAACCGGCTTCATTGGATGAGTATTTATCAGAAAACAAAAAGTCTTTTTCTGAAGAAATAAAAAAGTAACAAATCCTTTCTTTCAAATTTTAGCACAGGTATACGGCTTGCACACCCATCAGCTACAAGTTTTCACTTCTTCAGTTACTTACGAAATTCCCCAAGACGGCGCTTTACGGTGCATCCTCTTTTCTTCCACGTCTCCTCTACAAAAAATGTTTTCAATTCCATTTTGAATGTTTCTTAAGTTTTCCGAAGAAAAATGGAAATAAGGATAAAATTTAGACACTTTTTATCAGTTGCTGAAAGCACGTGAATTGTATTTCCGAAAAATTCTTTAAATAAGCTATTTCTGCCATTTTTCAAGAAGCGCTTGTCTCTTTGAAAATTATTTGATAAAAAACACCATGAAAATTGCTAGAATTGTTCTGAAATATAGTCTTAATAGGAGAAATACTTTGTCTTCTAACTACTCATGAAGTCACTTAAAGCAATTTTAGAAACTGGCCCTGGCCAGAAGCTTTTAGGAAAAGGGATCTAGGGTAAAACGGAAAAAAGCAGAAAATCTTAGAAACAGTTAACTTCTGTATTTCCTGCTCACTAGCGTCTTCTCAAATTTCCTGTACTATACGAAGAAGAATATAAAAAAAGGTTTTTTGTTTTGATACAGAAAACACTGAACTGATTTTACATAGTACACTCAAAAATATTGAGATTATCTCGAAATAATCTTGTAAAAAAGCTTCAATTTGTTGTTTTGAAACTCTCAGGATTATCAACATTAATATTGGTGTCACTATCATCATTATATTTATTGATTATATTATTGTTATTACTATCATTATTATCGTTTTTTGTAAGATCGGTGCAACAATAATTATAATTATAGTAATAATTATTATTAATATTGCTTTTCTTACTGTATTACTTCAATAATACCATTATCAATACAGTTTTCTTCGTTACTTTTGTTCTTTTTTTTTGCTATTATTGTTATTAATTTTCGTGTTGTTGTTGCCTATAACTGTTACTGTTATTGCTATTACTATTGAGGCCACTCTTATTAATGTTATTTTTATTATTACATGCTCTTATTACTGTTACTGGTGTCGTTGGTCTTTCCAACCTTTATTATTGCCACTGCTATTGGTATTATTTTAAGCAGCACTAATTATTATTATTTTTATTGTTATTATTACTACCGCTTTTTTATCGTTACAATTATCGTTATTCTTATCGTTGTCCTTAATCTTATTTTTATTCTTGTGCCTATTCCTATTCGTATTCTTGATTTTTCTGCCAAGTATTTGGGAAGAGAAAAGGCGTCTTCCGTGTATGAGACCGGCTGAGGTCGGCGACGAATATGAGGGCATGGTTAGGTTGCCGTAGAAGTTATTTGAAGCTGTTTTTGTTACCCACCTGAAGCTTCTTGTATCTGACTCTTTTTTTACCACTTTTTTTTTCGCGATTGCAAAGTAATTCTTGGATGTTCTAGAAAAAGTCTTTTAATCTACCTGAAACAATAACAGCAGACAGAGCTTTATAAAGCCGTTGTGATATTAATTTTTACTAATTTTGGGAGCTTAGAGCTCAGAGGCATTGCGCCTAAAAGAAAATCGCTTGTTTATTAATTTTTCACTATGCTTGAAAAGTTGTAATGAGACTAAATGAGCGCTTTCCTTCTCCAAATAATAACTGTTCCAGTAACAGGTAATGCCTTGCCTCCGCTTTCACTTGATCTCTAATTATTCATTTTGGATGAAACACGAGGCTGATGCTACAAGTACTTGTTTAGTAAACATTGCTTATTTACGTCGTACTTGTTTTTTGACCGTCTTGTTGTAAAATTAGTCCGCATTAAACACTTTTTGTGTTTGAGAAGTACTGCTATAGGCGGCTCAAACCTTGCTTAATTTTCTCAACTTCATTGGAACTGTTAGTTTTTGTCTGAAATATGATTCTTGCTATTTGGTAATCTTACTAAATTGTTTTCTTCTTCCTTTTGTTCTCGGGACACGTTTCTTGCTTACCCATGTTAAAAAAAAGATTTGAAGGAAAAAAAAAGAATTGAAAGAAGAAGGAATAATGCTAATGACAAACCCTTTTGAGCATAGGGTAGTAATGATAAACTCTTATGAAAGTCGTGTAAGGCCTCATTTTTTCACAACGTCAAGGAATTTCCACTTTTGTCGATCTTTTAGAACTGGGCACCTCAATCTTCGATTGTCGAATTATGATACTATTTACATTAACTTTATAAAACTTTTTCCTGCATCACAACTCGATAAAAATGGGTAAATAAGCGAAATGTTCCACTTAGATATCTTGTAATATTTGAGATTAGTTTTTTTTTAATTTAGAAGACCTTACACTAACCAGTTTTTTTGTTAAAAAAGGTTGGCTGCTGTAAAATTCAACTGAATAGTAATTCGAATTTCGTAATTGATAGACCAGGATATGCTACTTCAAAAAATCTCTTTTAGTCACCTGTCAAGGAAGCCGATGAACCTTGGGATCGGTTGGCTAAAACATATTACCAGCAATGCATTCGAGAAGGTAAAATTTACAAGTGTATTGACGAATCAAAAATCAATAGTAACATATCTTATCCCCTAAGTAGGCAGTACTTTTGGAATAATTTTTTTTATAAATCGCTCTTATTTTTAGCTCGCGGGAGTTACAGCTTTATTATTGAATATTCAACGAAGTTGAAGAACAGACGTCAGACCTTCAGTTTTGTGGTTATTATTCACGGTTCTGTATAAAATAATGATATTTTAGATGATCTCGAAAAAACTGGTGATATAACAGTTAAAGAAGTTCTTAAAGAACTTGGCGGTTGGCCGGTTTTAGAAGGCGAGAGGTGGAAAGAATGGCAGTTTTCATGGGAGGAACAACTGGCTCGAGTTATGAATAAAACGGGTATCAATGCAGTAATCCTTGAGCTCTCTGTGTCCCATGACCCTCGAAACAGTTCCAAAAGCTTAATTGAGGTTTTTATATATACACAATTTTACTCCTATTTTGATTAAATAATTTTAGTTTCGTAGACCAATAAAACTAGAAATTTAGAGTTTAAAATCACACCGCCACTTGCTTAAAATTTCAATTTAGCTTGACCAGCCAAAATGGGGGATTGGTTCGCGTTGGCCATACTTGACGGGACCTGATGACCCAACGTTGTTGAATTATACATCACTAATGATTGCCACAGCTATTAATTTAGGTTTACTAGCTGCATACTGCTACTTCTGAAATACTTCGTCTTTATAGAGATAAATCATTTATTGATATCAACTGTGCTTTGAAGTTGTTACTTTCTACTTCTCGTGGTGTAGTTAAAGCACGTTTTTAAGAAAAAACAATTTTTATTTTTAAAATTTATGCCAGTTAATTATCTTTCTAGTTTACTTGTACTCTTACTTATTGATAAAAATCTTCTATAGGTGCAGATCCAGAAGTAGCAGAACGAGACATGAAAGAAGCTATTGATTTTGAAGTTCGTTTAGTGAACTTTTCTGCTGATGAACAATCACGTCGAGATCCCGACCACACTAATAATCCATACCAACTTTGGCAACTAGGAGAGCTGTTTCCTCACGTTGGTGTTTCTAATTACTTTTCTGTTCTTTTTCGCCAAGCAATTAATTTTAGTTTTTTGTCATTACAAATATCAGGAAAGCTATAAGGCCTTTTCTTAAACTTAAAGTGATTTTGTATGCTATTATAATGCAAATACTGTTTTCTACAGATAAATTTCACCAAGTATGTGAAGACAATATTTGAAGGCATAGCTGATATATCACCAAATGACACAGTAATAATAAGAGAGAAGGAATATTTTCGTGGCATTCAGGTAAAAAGTGTTATTATGTTATTACTTTTTACTGCTGTCTGTCTATTATTAATATTAATTATATTAATATTATTGATAAGATCGATAATAATATTATTATTAATATTATTAACATTATTAATAATATTAATATTAACATCATTATGTTTTTACCATTATTATTTTTATTTTTATTATATTTATTATTATTATTACTGTTATCATTATTACTATTACTATTTCTATTACTATTACTATTAATGTTAATGTTAATATTAATAATAATATTAATATTACCATTACCATTATTATTACTATTTCTGTTACTATTACTATTACTGTCACCTCTACTGTTACTATTACTATTACTATTACTACTGTTATTATTACTATTTACTATTACTGTTGCTACTGTTATCATCATTACTGTTACTACTGTTACTGTTATTATTATTGTTATTGTTGTTATTATTATGATTATTACTATCATTCTCGACATTGTTCGAGAAGAAAGAAGCAAAATAAACAACTCAAAAAGATCCTTTCTTTTGTAATAGGAATAATATACTCTTCGGAAAAATTATTGCTTTACGGGGAAATGTTTTTTTTTTTCAGCACATTTTACACACAACTAACAAACGGATTATTGCAAATTATTTACAATGGAGAATTGTTCAAGGCTTCTCTCCATTTTTGCCACCAAAGAAGCAGAAGCCATTTTATGAATTCAAGGCGAACCAGACTGGAATTCATGATGCTCCTCTACCTGAAAGGTAGTGTATGCTGCACTTGAATCAGTGAAATAGACTTACCTTATTGTTCTTGGTTTGTTCTGGACACCCTTTTTGACATCTTTGGATTTTTTTAACTGCAAATTTTAAAAGCTTTTAAAAACAGCGTTACTGCCTCCACTCCACAGGCTAAAAAAATAGAATTTTCAATGTTTTAGGTGGGAAGACTGTTTATTTTTGTCATTAATCATGTTAGATATGCCGGTTGGAAAACTCTATGTGGACAATTACTTTGACAAAGATCGTGCAATTAATAAAGTTAGTCTGATTTGGAAGCTAACCTGAACCATTTTTTTATGCTTGAACGCTAACACTTTGTTGTCTACGAAGCAACTCAAAGATTTAGATGAACGAAATGACCAAATATTTCAAAAATGAACTTATACTACAACTTCGTAAGGCTGAATGGATGGACCGAATAACAAAGCAGCGGGCTATTGAAAAGGCCCAATATGTTGAATATAAAAGCGGATATCCTCCTTACATTTATAATGAGACCTGGATGCGCACAGTGTGGACTTTCGTCAGTTTTATCCTGCTATTAGCGTCTGTTAACTTTTAGTCATCGCTAAAAAGTTTCGAAAATTTTCATCTGAAAAAGACAGTAAATAAGGAAATTTTAGCCAGAAATTTGGGAAAAACCTAAATCTCTACTAAAGTTGACTATAAGAATAAAGTTAGCGCGAGTACTAGAAGAGCTTAACCGCTTAAAAGTACCCTTTGACCGCTCCACATGGTTCCAAGGCCCAGCCCAAGTGGATGCCTATTACGCTCCCAACCTCAATGAAATGAGTATGTTTTTTTCTAAAAAAGTAACTCTTTCACCTGTCTGAAAGAGAAACTAAACATTGATAATGATGTCGTTTTACAAAATGACCTTTCCTAAAATAGTAAAATTAGCAGTTTTAGAGGACTATCCCTAAAATACAGCTCGGATATGCAAAATACTTTATATCCTTTGGTCTTTCAGTCTTCCCGGCCGGCATCATGCAGTTCCCACTGCTGTCTTCTGGTGTACCTAATTACATAACTTACGCTATGATTGGGGCCGTCATTGGTCATGAAGTATCTCACGCTTTTGACGACCAAGGCAACAAAGTTTATCACAAATTTTACTATCGTTCTGAAAAGTGCACATTATAAACAGCAATAAATTTTTAGGAAGACGTTACGATAAACTTGGAAACTTGTATGATTGGTGGGATGCGGAAACCGCAGAGAAATTTTCTGAACGAACTGAATGCTTCGTCAAGCAGTATAATGCTATAAGGGTTAAGGAAGCTGGGCTAAACTTGAACGGAAAATTATCAGTTGGAGAAAATATTGCTGATAACGGTGGTGTCAAAATCGCACTGATGGTTAGCTACTCCTTGAAGGCCTAATTTGAAATTTCTAACCTAGACCCTTTATCGGGTTTTGCTGTGGTGCCGCAGAAAACAATTTTTTGGCACAATACAAAAGGACAGTTAGGGACGTAGTTATCAGTGATTCAGACAACAGAATTTGAAATAAACAAATGCCTAAAATATCTTAGGCTTACAGTGAGGCTATTACTTTCAAATCTCAGAAGTTAATTTTAAACGATGCATAAAACGCAGAAAATTAAGCTCTTCATGCTCTGCTTGTCTAGAAGATTTCTGTGACACATTCATTTAAGGCATATAAATCCTGGCTCAGGGACAGAACGCATGGTGAAGCCGCTTTACCTGGTTTTCAAAATTTCACCACTGAACAATTGTTCTTCTTAGCCTATGCCAATGTAAGTTTTGTCGTTTACCAGACAGTAATGAGAGCTTGTCAAGAAGCTAATTTCTGAGATACATAGTGCTCTGACAATGAGTCGTAAGGGGAACAAGCTGGATTTAGAATTGGTGCTCGCTGGCCAGGCCGAAACATTACGTGCAGGTGATCATGAACGATGTTCACGCACCGAGCAAGTACCGTGCAATTGTACCACTGCAGAACAGGCCAGAATTCGCTGCAGCATATCACTGCAAGGCGGGTAGCCCGATGAATCCGGTAAAAAAGTGCGCGTTGTGGTAGGAAAGCGTCTATTGTGCTTTAGCCGAAAATCCTCCTGTACCTTCTTAGTATTTTTGTCTTGCTTAAGTAACACGCAGAGTTACAGCGAAGATACTCAACTGAACAACTTTTACTTTTTTCCTATGTCAGTGTTTTCTTCTTTCTTCTTGTTTTCATCGTCATTATTTCAATGTTTGGCGGTACTCTCGAAATTATTTTTATTGGTATGTTATCGATTCGTTTAAAAAACTCTTGCTATAATGGCTGTGATTTGTCTTTTTTTATTACTCCCTTCAAAATTGGATACTATTTTACTACCAGTGATTAGTTACATTATTAAGGATCCCTGTTTTAAGTAACTGTTAGTCACAGCAGCACCAACGGGAGCCGTTCTAAATTTCAGTTTTTTTTTTCACATCCTTTGCGAAAAGTACAATAAGGTTCCGAGTTCTGAAAGGCGGTAAAGGTGATTCAGACTTTGATTTATTTGCTTTTTAAAGTGGGATCAATTTAGAGAACGACTTACGAAGTGCACAAAACCGATACAGTACCACTGTTTTTTTTTGTTTTTTTTTTTTTTGTTAACTTTCCCTTCCCTATTTCTCCTATAAATAATTAGGACTTCGTGTTTTACTGCTTGGAACGTTTTTATCAGTTTGAATGCTCATTCTCATTGATTCTCACTTCCAATGGAATATTGTGCGAAAAAAACTGATTATTAGTATTATCTTTTCACTTACAATAATCACGAACTAGGTACTGGTTAAAATTAATGCACATTTTAAAAGGCTTAAAAAATTCAACCAAATTTCATCTCAGCTTCTGCTCTCTCTGAACATTATAAAACTGAACTGTCAGCGATTACATATATAATGATTAACGGGGTATATCGCTCCTGCAATTGTTTCCACTGGCTGGAAATTCCCTTCTTCGCAGCTTTACTTTGTTTTTTGAAGGGAAAATCAAAGGTTATTGATCTCACAACATTAACCTGCTGCAGTTTCCTGAATATCAATGCATTTCCTTATTTTCAATGTAGTAGTTTTAATGATTTCAAAACAGATTTAAAGTAGCCAAATGTTAGCGCACACTCATGTCAAAGACGCATCCTTCTAGCTTCAGTTCCGACAAACCTTGTACTCTTCTTTTCTCTCACGTTTTTCTTATTTTTTAATTTTGAACTAAATTCCACCTCCCCACCTTAAGGCTACTGAAAAAAAGTATTTTAAGGTGAGAATTAAGTATTCCAACAAGTGAAGCGGAAGAAAAGAAGCTAGTTTACACTCTCACCCCGCTAACTTTTTGGTTAAACTTGACCAGCTGTCCAGAACTGCCATTTTCATTTTTCAATATTAAAGGCATTAATCTGCAGAAAGAATAAGTGAGGATGGTCTCA